ATATTTTGCCTTATGGTACATTTGCATACAACACCGCAGTGCAAGAGACGACCCAGTTCACATCACTACAACTTGTTCATAGTTGAACGGTAACACCGACATTAGACGCGATGTTACCTGTCGATGATTTGAATGAAAATGAGCCGGACATCGGTGAATGCGTAGAAATGGCAGAACAGGCACGACAGTTGGCAAGAATACACATCGTTCACCAGCAGGGCATCGATGCAAATTGTTATAACCTGAGGCGAAGTGACGTAAAGTACAACCCTGGAGAGAAAGTGTAGGTGTTGACACTTGTACGTGTTCCTGACCAATCTGAAAAGTGGACGCGGCGCTACTTCGGCCCCTACAATGTACTTCGCCGGCTTAGCCGGCTAGGGGAGTATAGGGGACTAATGCCACAAGTTGTCGGGCACCTTCTGTACTCACAGGCCGGTTCCTGTTTTTGTGTAGTCCGCCACACAGCAGGCAAGCAAATCACGCACTGATATGCTCAACTGAGTGTGTCATCATACCACGTCCTGAAGAAGCCTGGCGGCATAAAAAGGGTAAATGTATATACATGCACACACGCATTATATATATATATATATATATATATATATATATATATATATATACATATACATATATATATATATATATATATATAAATATATATATATATATATATATACACAAACCATGGTGTATCCCTTCGCCGTAGAAACCGGTGTAACAAAAAAGCGAAGCCTTTCATTTTCTGCTTACTGCTATAAGAGAGTTAGTGGATTAGTATTTTACAACATTAACACCATTTGACGTGACGGAATACTCGTTGAAGCTCAGTGATACATCTCTATTCCGACTGGCCTTCATGTTTATAGATTAAACAAAGCCATTTGTTCAGAAACGCTTCTTGTAGTTGTAGTAGGTAAAGGGGAGAGCTGAACGGGAGGAAGTGATTTCACAGCCCGAAAAGTGTAACTCATTAAACGCCGAATAGAGGCTTAGGCCACCTACTGAAGGCATGTTGTAGTAACTCACACCATCGGGTGACCTGAGGGATACGGAACGCGCGTCCTGCCTTCTCTGTAGGCTCACCGAAATTTTCATTGGGGCGAGTAGGTATGAAACTTGGTTACCAGTGGGCGTCGCAGAACTATTTTTGGTACGTATGGTGGCTCTGAATGACGTAAGGTAGCCACCTACGGTTGTTAAGGCTTTGACAAGAATGCCTTGCTCTTTATTGAAAACGTGCCGGTTATGACGGACGCTTAAAATCGACGCATTGAAAAAAACTATTCGTGGATGTCACAGTCAACATGTGCTACTGCTGTTTATCACGAACGCTGCGAATGGAGAGTGTTAGATATAAAATGCGTGTTTTAAAACATACAAATCGTGTGAACTTCGTGCAGTGAATAGTGTGTTTAGCACGTGTTGTGCACCGTGAGGTGGCGGATACGACTACCCTTGATCGAACTTTTATCTGTTCCTTTTTGTTCATGCGTATTTTGATGAGCTTTTGCTGACAGAAATATGTCAACAAGTCTTGGTGAACCCTAGCGTAGGAACACTTTCGTGCGAAAAAAGCAGCGACTTACCAACACAATGCCATGTGCGCAATGCCTGAGCTTCAGTGCTTCCGCCCTAATGAAAAAGCTAGTGGAACTTTGTTCGCGTCATGCCTGATAACTTGACCTGTATATCATGTGTCATCATGTTTGCTGTCACTGCTGCATTGTAGAGGTGGCTACGGACCTTTTGTCAAGTTGCTTGTGTCTCAATCATCTTTTTTCCGGCAGTTCCCTCCATCGATGATGGTATTATTATTATTATTATTATTATTATTATTATTACTATTATTTATTATTATTATTATTTTATTGCTGGGTACTACTATACCACTGGTACGCTTCAAGTGCCAGGCCAAACGATGACACGCTGCACCGTGGGATCACCATCTCCATGTTCAAAAAAATTTTTTAGGGGGGGGGGGCAGGCATAAATTGATGACGAAGCAAGCAACTGTAACGGCACAGCACTTATAAGCTCTCTCCTAACCAATGTCTTTTTGCCCTTTTTATATGCAGTAAAAAACTTTTGCTTTAAACATGAATTTTCGTCAACTTGCTGCTTTGTTCTACCCGCTATGAGCAGAAATGTGGCAGTAGAAGTGTCTTGAAATTGCGTGCATGCTGACATCCCCTTTAGGGCACAAAATTGAGCGCTGCTACAAGAGATGTACCTTCAAGAAAAAAAAACACGACTGCTCTTTATTTCTTGGGATCGGTGCAGCAAGAAATCGAAAACTGCCTTCACTGGCGAGGTTGAGCGTTTAGTGTGCATGGGTTCGACACAATCACAAATGAATGATTACCAAAGGAACAAATCGTAGTGTCACGCGAAGAACGTCAAGCAGCTCAAAGCTTGTATCGCGTACTTCAAGCACAAAGCGCGCGTTAAATGAACGTACGCAGGACGAGCGCGGATTAACAACTGTCCCAGCTTGGCACTTGAACAGCGCTGTTCAAACAGAAAGAAAGGCACACAAAACGCACGCACAAGTATACACCGAACTTGCGCGAATTGCCATGATTCTTACTTCTTGTGTGCGCAGCGTGCTCCTTTTGTAAACGTGGGCGAGGCAGCGAGCCAATGATCCTTCGTGCTTCCTTTATCCACTGTATTATTAACCCGTAGTAGAAGCACAAGAGATACAAAGCTGCCAAGTCATGAAATAAGCGCGCTAATGAGCGTGGCCCTGTATAGGCACGTGCACATCAAATGCATGGGGCATTGTGCAGGGCGAAGACCTTTGGATCGCAACCTTTTCGCTATCTCGCTATTGATGGCGAAAATGCGCTGACATTGTGCAACTCTGAAGACTGCCGAGAACATTCGATGTAGAGAAATCGCTCACCGGTCAGAAGCTGGACAAAGTATACGCTCCAGGGTGCAATGGTATTGAGCAAAGTGGTGCCGCGAAAGAGGGAGCACGTTCAACACTCAGTTATATAACTTTCGCTGCTGTTTTGTTATACTCTATCAGTACAAAATTCACAATGACTCATACATGACTTAAATGCGTCAGCAAAGCACAGGAAAACCCCGTCATAAAAGGCTTTATATGTAAAAATTGAGCTGAATGGCGACAAATCTGCCACTTCGACATGCCACACATTCTGCGGCTGTCACGTTACATCTACATCACACTTAGAAAGCGAGATTACAGCCTTTGTTCCTCTATATTTTAAATTGGTCCTTGGATCTTAATTTTATTTTTACTTTAAAATGCTTGTGTTTTAGCATCTTTGTGCTTGCGATAACGTGAAAAAGATAATTTGTTTGTTTGATACAAGCTCTCTGACCTGTTATACAACAAAAACAGATTTGTTTATACATTAGGAATGCTGCGGCTGTCTCACCGACTTTATAACAAATAGTAATACATATATCATGTACGTGAACTACTAATGGAATGAATTTTTTGTCGTCACCCATTTAAAATTATCTGTCCTCCTTCCACGCGTTCCTGATACTGCAGCTGCCCTAGTATTTCCTAGATCAATGAAACATTAGGCTGGGGCATGTACTTCAAGCAATATGACTGCTGTGAACATCATGCATATTCATTCATGAGGAAGCTACCAACTGTTGAAATGCAGTTCTGATCATAACTGTCCTGAACAACACCGTATTTGCATTTCATCTAAAATTATTCTAAGCAAATACAGATACTGATATTGTGTGTTACAGCGGCAAACTGCCAGCGTTGACGTGAATCATTCGGTGGTACAATACCATGTGGAAGAACTGATTACTAGAATAGGTTTTTTTTGAATGTCAGAGAAATACAAGTGTCAAACTGCGGTGTGAATGGCAAGTTGTTTTGGTGCGACTACCTGAACTACGCTCGTTACACTCGATGCCACATTTCAAAAAAGCGTACGTCAGTGCACTCAACAGATGATTGGCTCGTGTATCCTAACATCAGTCATGTAACTCAAGTAAGGGAGAATATGCGTACGACATAAAATAAAATCATCTTTTAAAAATATTCGATAAGTTCAATGTACTACATCTCGATATAGAATGTCGAGTTTTCAAGAGTATCTTGCCAGCGTGCCCAGTTTCATTCAATGTGCCACCAGAAATTCCAATTTGTAAGTAGCAACTTTGGTACTCAGACATTGGGGCTGAACTGTACAATATTTTCAAAATCGTTCAGCGCACTGAGCATCAGTGTCTTCCACGTTGTACAGTATCTTCCACAACCTCCTAGCACGCTGTAATGCACTAGTAACCCGGTTACGGCGTTTTCAGTTACACCCAAAGCACAGACACACACTCAGATGCACTCAAAACGCTATTTTTTTTCTTTGTTACCCGTGTAAAAGTATTCAGACAGATTTCTTAACGTCGCCAGCCATATGCATCCCCAACAAAGTCAACACAATTCTTTATTGCATAAAGAGCACTTTGATTATCTGCCGCAGAAGTAAAATAAAAATAAAAAATAAGTACTACTGATAATAATGGCGTAGCGACAGCTGGATTACTTCACAAAAAATGTTATTTTTAGCGCAGTCGATACCTTGCAGAGAGCGTTAGTTGGCCTCGCCACCAACGCGAAAATCTGCTTTGAATTCGCATGAGACATTATGTCATTGCCGTGAATTTTTAAATGTACATTTAAAGTATTTTAGAGTATTTTAGAGTATTTTAAATGAATATGCAGCTTCAACAAAAAATAGCAAACGATGCTATCAAGAAAAATGACGCACAGGTGTCACGTCTCAAGGTGTTGGCTGACTTGGAGGGTTAGTGTATTTCCATTAGTCACCGAATGTACGGTTGCTTTGAATTGTTTGTAAGCAATATTATTTGAACAAAAGAAGAATGATATTTGTTCAGACTACGCTGCTACGTTTAATGCGCCAGTCTAAAGAGATAATCATCGAACGATTATCTAAACAATTTCGTTTCAGTGTGTCCGTCAATGACGTATTTACCTTTGAAGTCCACCTCACTGGTACGGCATGATCCACTTTCTCCCAAAAATTCTGTCATATCACTGCGGCAGCCACGCTTCGCACTTTCATGGCATTTTTTTGTCTCGGGATCAAAACCGAACGACAAGCACGTCATATCTTCAAAAAAAAAAGAGGTGATAGTTAGTAATACTTTTTTAAAGAGGAACGCATAGAGTGCCTAGTCAAGTTTGTTCAAGTTTTTACTCAAGCACCGAAGATAACACGGGAAGTTTCGATCATTGGCATATAAAAAACAATGTGTTCTGACGATGATCAGGGTACTGAAGTCCGATGTCCTCGTGTGAACTTATTGTACAGCGAATGTTGCATCTACATTTATCTCTCTTTGGCTGAACGTGATTTCACTCACTAAGGTTTTAATAAGGTGACATATCATTTTGCTTACTCACCGTTATTCGCACGTTATAGAATGCAGTCGCATCGAATAATAAAAATGCTGGCCACCGCACCTTCATGGCATTTTAATTTTGGCAGAACTCACGTGAACTCCAGGATCCGTAAGCTAGAAGTAAGCAGTCATCTTGCACGTCCAGAACATAAAATTTTTCTTGTATATCCATCGAACTTGACCCTGCTGGAATATCTGAACGAAGAATCGAGAGAAACAAAAATAATATTAGACCGTATTGTGTGCCTTCTTCTTTACTCAAAGTGTTTTGTTTTGTAAATTTGTTTATCATAAAGTGCAATAAAACACCAATACTATTCCTTTTGAAGCATACTGTTTCTTATAATAAAGTATTTCGGTTCATTTCGTCATTTGATGCTGTAATTTTTTTTCATTTTTGCTCTTCGCGGTAGCAATTGTTTCACCAGTCAATAAGCACATCCGCATAAGTGTTATGAGATAACGTGTTACTCTGGAGAGCGATAGCTCTAACTCGAGAATAGCACGTCAACATTTTAAGCGTTTCCTCTATATCTGAAGCAGCTCCCTGTATGAACAGTATCCCTACAACTGCACTTTCTTGCAGGTTCATCTATGTAGGGGCCGTTACATGTAGCTCAATCAATTACTTGACGTTATGTTCCAGTACAGACTTATTTAAAACAATATTGTCGTTACTATTTGTATATTGTGCAGTATTTTTAACCGAAACATAATTTGTGACATATAAGAATAAATATTTACCAGTTTCATCAAGCTTGATATTAATAACCACTTTTCCGTGCTCGGGGCCACCCAGGAAAAATTCTGCTAGTGCATGTCTTTAGAAAACAATAATAGAAAAAAGGTAAAGAATAATTTATTTTTTAGACTTTGCAAAGAAAACTTCTAAATGGTACTTTTAACAAGAAATACGATGATAATCTCAAAGAGAACGCTAAAAAGCACAATTGAGAGCATCAAGCGTATGCATTACATGACGAATGCAGGTGGCTATAACAAATGCAACGTATCTACAACTTAGAAGTTTACACAAATAAAAACAAGTGATTAAGAGGACTGACATCTCGGTTGCCTTAAAATTGCATGCCTTGTAATGTTTCTCTATTACTTAAAACCAAAAGTCCAGAAAGTCTCCAAGTTACAATGCTCCAAACAATTACTTTCCGTAAATGCGCATAGAAGGAAGAAGCCTGTTATTCTGAAAACCAAACAGAATAGCGAAGTGTACCCTGATTTGGCGCGTGCTATCTAAGCTCGATGCTTCTGATTTCCTCATAATACTACGACAGCACGTGTTGCGTGTTGCGATTTGCACAACAGATGTGTAGATTTGATTTGACAAATACTTATAAGAATACTCGTAGAACGAAAGTCGAGGAATGACAAAACCGTTAGTAATTACATCTCAGTACTAGTGAAGCAAGTAGCAGGCTGAGATATTTGAAAAAGCGCGAGCGCTATGGTGAATCCGACAATGCTGCCTTTTGAAGTGATTCTACGTGACCAGACGTTGCATGATTGTTTGCAGTCTGCGGGACTAGCTCGTGCAGCTATATCTGTTCGAACAACAGGACTTGACGTAATCGAAAGAATTCAACCTTGTTGAGAGAGGTGAAAACGCTGTGTATGGTCTGAAAAAACCATAACAGCTACATTAAAAAGCAGCTTTTGCCCCCAAAAAGATACAATGGTATCGGCAATGGAACGCTCAATATTCAAAAGGCATGCTAGAAAATTGAGAAGGAACAAGAACATAAAAGAACATTTGCAACAATCATCCCCGAAGACAAAGAACTTCAACCACACCTCCAGGCCCAGTCACGTCTTAACAGTACTCTCAAAATATGGCATTGTGCTGGCGCAACAATTCCATCAAACCATCTAGAACGCGCACATCGCAAGATCATAAAGACTGAAGTCAACCCGAGTGCACCCCACACAACCATCATTGCGGCCAAGTTCAAAGCATGCCACGTGCGCAGTTGACCCAGCAAAGCTTCAGCTGGACTGCGTTTGCGTACGCACATAGTTGAAAGTGCCGTGGCAATTTGCGTGCGAGTAGTGGCAACATTACACATCAGATTTCTCCGCGTGCGATGGCGGACGTAATACAATGGCACAGACCTTTCGCATTGCTGCTGGTAGTCATCAAAGCGTGAGGTTCTAGGCTGCTCGGACTAAACTCGTTTCCTCGTATGGATATAAACCTCAGGGTCATTCATGGTGCATTTAATACATGATCGGCTGCGGCAGCTGCATTTCCGATTGAGGCGGAACTGCTATAGGCCGATGTGCTCAGATTTGGGTGCACGTCAAAAAACTCAGGTGGCCAAAATTTCTGGAGTCCTCCACTACGGCGTCCCTCCTAATCATATGGTGGTTTTGGGACGTTAAAGTCCACTTATCATGCATTACGTGACAAACTTTTTGAAGCTTATAAGAAAGTAGCAGTGTCTGGTCGATGAGGGCATGTCAGAAGATTTGGTTCTGTGGCACAAATTGAAGTTGTGGTAGGAGCGAAACCAAGGTTTCTAAAAAGACAGCTGGTTTCTTTCGTGCTGCTGTATGCCTTGGAAGGTAAACTGCACTGAAAGCAACGCCGAGACATGTGCTAGTGAGCTAGTGAAACTATAGGATGGCGCAAAGCATCTCGTATTTGCTCAAAAAAAGGGCACGTGGTAATTATGCCGCGACTACTATTGTACAGCAAAGCAGGTATTGTAGGAGGCAGGCCACTTCATTCCCACAAATGTATATGTCCTAACCCACTTAACGGAAGGCGATCTCTTCAGCACGCGGGATTTTTCAGATCATTACTGGAACTTCTTGTATATATCTGAGAATGCAGAGATATTCACAGAGAACGCCTCGGAAGAGCTTCACGAGGTCACACGATTGCCTTTAGGCACCTCTGCAGCACGAGCCATATTTCAACGCATTGTGGAGGATATGTCACCTGGCTTGACGTGTGTTTGTGTGTATCTTATTGCGTGGAGGCCAGGGAACAAGTTGTCATGAAATATGCACAGAGGATTGAAGTGCTAGAGAGGCTACAGAACTGCAACCTTCACCTCGACAAAAAAACAGAAAAAACAAGTGCTAATTTGCAGCGGGATAAGTATCTTTTCTGAAACGCCGAATTAACAAGAGAGGTGTCTACACGAACAAGAAAAAAGAGCTATCGCAGCACAAAACTGCAAGCGCGTTCATAAGCCATTTCTTGGAGAGCCAACATTCTAAGAAAGACTACGTAATAAACATGGCAAAAGTCGGCAGGTGTGACTACCGGTTTCTTCAAAAGGAGGCCACGTATAAATGGGAAACCAAGCATAAGGACGCATTTGAAAGCTTAAAAGATTGTGTCGCTGTTATACCGTACTCGCACAGCGTTGTTGAGACCTCGGTTCACTGCTCCAGATACAGCGCCTCGGACACAACATTGCAGCGCATGACAGAAGCTCTACAAGGCAGTGCAGGATACCCGAGGGAAAAAGTCACTGGTGTATAGTTCACTTCTTACCAACAAAAAGCCAAGGCACTAGCATTTCATTAGGAATGCCTCATAATATCTCATGGGTGATCATGCCGAGTTAAAAACAATGCCACGTTCTGAAATTTTTCCACGCTAGCTACCGAAGCCTGGCACTTATAAAAACGTGCGCAGCGAACTATGTATAGTAGCCGAAATCGGCAAGGTGGACGAGGGAATGATGCAAAAGTGTAGTGGATTGCTTTCAAAGCAGTAGAGCAGAAAAGAACTTATTCCTACCTGGGACCGTTCCCAGGCATGATGGCCAATTTTACCCGTTTACTTCTTGGATCGAATTGTCGGGTGCACCTACTTGGTTGTTGTGGACTAATTCAAAAAGGCTGAAAGTTCACGGAAGCCAAATACGCTGTTGTCATCGTCATGCGCTAAGATCACATTGCTTCACTTCGCTCAGATTCAGGAGACATTGAAAAAATCATTTCGTTTCGCAGTAGAGGAGGCTGTGCTTATTCGTTAGTTTATAAAGAATGTCAGGTTGCATTGAAGGTGAAATACTGCACCGCATTGGACCACAATTACGGCATGTACAAAGAAACTATGGTAAGGTTCACTATTGCATCAATCGCATTGAGAAAATATGCCAAACCACACAACCGACGCGATTGCGTTGACTGCCTAAGAAGAGAACAGCAACGAAGTGTGCGAGATAATAAACTGTAGCTGTGTCACGAGCGCAAGTCCTGCAGTGTGTCGAACACTGTCTAGTTGTGACTCCGACGCCTGAGCTACGCCTGTTAGCTTGTTCGGGTTTTCTTGAGTGAATGAAATCACTTGCAGCCACAGGCCTTTGTGCAAACGTGGTTACAATATAATTACTAAAGGTGCCTTCTAAACTTATGTTAATTCTTTGTCACAGAACGAGCGATAAAAATGGGTGTGCCGCCAAATTGTCGCGACGAAACGCCGGAGTGGCGCCGCGAGGTCAAAGGAAAAAGAAAACAAACATCTAAAGGCTCCTCGGGGCGCGCGCTCTCCCCTCGGAAGCGTGGCTTCGCCGACGAAACTCCTCGCCCCACATCGGCGGCCGAGATAGCCCGCGAAAGTTCTAGAACGAAAGGGGCGTAGTCATACCGAGTTGAGTCATCGGCCGCGGAGGGCATTCCAACCGTCTCGCCCTCTTCCCAGCCTTCGCTGCGTATCGCGCCGACTAAATGACGAGAACCGTCTGGAATGTCGAATGTCGCGCGCAAGGTATTTAATCGAGCAGCCGAGATGAGAGATCAGGAGAAGACGGAAGTAGCGCCAGAGTGCGTAGGGATTCCGCCGTGTAGTCGGCGAAGGTTTTGTCCGTAGGGACGAAGCAGGAGATGAAGAGGATTTCCACCTGAGGGGTGAAGGCCCGAGCTACAGGCAAGAGAGTGTGTTTACCGCTATCGAGCAAAGACGCGTGGCGACAGCTGCGTGTGTGAAGCCGACGTGTTCGGGCGAAGAAGTTTAAAGCTTGGAGAGTGGCCAATTGAAGACGCGAGGTTTCCTGGAAGAGAAACTTCGAGAGCTGCGGAACGACAACAACGCAGGACTTTGAGTGAGTGATTCCCGGAAGAGTATCATCTAGACTTTGGTTCCAAGAACTTTGGACTGAATAGGTTTTCTATCTCTTTAGTCTTTAAGTGTCTTGGTTGTTCAATGCATGCGACTGCATTGTAGAGCGTATCGTTGTCTGTGTCCGTTGTTTTGAGTGTGGCTGATTGTACTGTGTAGTACGTTGTTTGATTGGTGACGTATTGTATGTAACTATTGTGGAGTGTGCATTCTTGTGTATTGTTTTTGATCTGCCATTTGTGAGAATATAATATTTGTTTTGTTTCTCAACTCTCGGCTCTGACTTGTTCTTTGGGCCACAGCCGGCGTCTGCTGGCGCGCCAATAAGGACCAATCCTAAATTGTCCACGCTTTCATGGTGCGGTTCGGGGGGCCGATACTTCGGCCCTTGGAATTAGCCCGGCGATCGCCTTCCTAATTAACGGGACTGTGTGTCAATTAATCTGGCGTCCGCGACAGGACCTTTTGGTGCACAGTGTGTCCAAAGTAGTGAGACAGAGCCTCGAGTTGTTGATAGTGCTATCGGAACGATTTCGTGTGTTGTTCAGTGTTCTCGTTAACGAGTGCAGGGGAGTGTTCCAATAGACTGATTTAGGAAGATACTTTTTGCACGCGGCAAGGTTTTATTTGCGAGTGGCGATACACAATGGATCTCGAAAAGTTAGTCGCTCTTGGTGAGAAGATGGGGCTTTCTGGCGCCGAACTACGGAAGTGGGTAAGCCAGAA